ACCCAGGTCTTCTGCAAGAACAACCAGTATTCTTAACCACTGAGCCATCTCTCCAGCCCCACACATTTATTTCTTTTAGGTTTTTAAATTTAGTAGCATATAGATTTTAAATTATTCCTTATAATGTATGGCTCTGACTATAAGTTTCAGAAGAGAGAAGCTGTGTCTAGCTGAGGAGCACAGGCCCAGATAGCAGAGCAGACACATGCCCAGCCTGAGAGCCTATCCAGAAACTTGACCATTCCTGACACGTTTCATATTTCATTTTTCCAGTAGGGGATACCAGTACTACATACACTGTAGTTTCTGTGCACATAACAGAAGTAAAATAATGAATCTTAGTGAATCCTTAACAAGCAACATCCACATACAGAAATACCACATATCTCAAGTTCCATGACTGTCATTCAAGTCCCGGAGGTCTCTCACATCTGCTGCGAGAACTGTCTTCTTCCAGGAGTTCAACCTCCCTTCTCTGTATATAACAAGGGGACATGCAAATAGGGCCTCCCTCTGCTCTTGAAAGCCAGCCCAGCCTGGACCCTGCAGCTCTGGCAGAGGAGCCCAGCCCTGCACACCCAGGTGTTCCATCATTCAAGTCCCGGAGGTCTCTCACATCTGCTGCGAGAACTGTCTTCTTCCAGGAGTTCAACCTCCCTTCTCTGTATATAACAAGGGGACATGCAAATAGGGCCTCCCTCTGCTCTTGAAAGCCAGCCCAGCCTGGACCCTGCAGCTCTGGCAGAGGAGCCCAGCCCTGCACACCCAGGTGTTCCATTCACTGATCAACACTGAACACAGACTCAACATGAAGTTTGGGCTGAGCTGGCTTTTCCTCGTTGCTCTTTTAAAAGGTGATTTATGGAAAAGAAGGAATGTTGGGTGTGTGAGTTGACAAGGGTGAGAGGGACAGTGGGCAGGTGTGACAAGTTCCTGATGAGGACTCTCTGTTTGCAGGTGTCCAGTGTGAGGAGAAGCTGGTGGAGTCTGGAGGAGGCTTGGTGAAGCCTGGGGGATCCCTGACACTCTCCTGTGCAGCCTCTGGATTCACCTTCAGTGATTACTACATGCACTGGGTCCGCCAAGCTCCAGGGAAGGGGCTGGAGTGGGTTGCAGAAATAAGTTATGATGGAAGTGGTAAATACTACCCAGACTCTGTGAAAGGCCGATTCACCATCTCCAGAGACAATTCCAAGAACACCGTGTCCCTGCAAATGAGCAGTCTGAGGTCTGAGGACACAGCCACGTATTACTGTGCAAGACGCACAGATTGGTCACACAGTACTGGGACTTCAGTGTAAGCCCAGACACAAACCTCCCTGCGACAGCGCTCAAGGCCAGCAGGGGGCGCAGGAAACATGGATCGCAGAGTCACTCCTGAGCAGGTGACTGGGCATAAACACCTGGACTCTGGTTCAAGGACTGCCTATTTATCACAGAGCAGTTTTCTAATGGAACTGGTCTAGAAGTATGATATTACTGTCATTCGAAGTAACCAAGTGTCTTAAATTCTGTTATCTGCTGTGCTGTATATGTTTAAATACAGGATCCACTCTGACCTAACAGCATAGAGAGCATCACATGGGGAATAAGTGACTCTGTAGAGGTCCCAGGATCAAATTCGGAGGATGCTCAATGACCATGAAGACTGTCCTGGTTTTAAGGGAACGAGTTCAGGGTTACAGGTTACAGGTTACAGGAGTGTTTGGGGTTCAAGTTTGGGACAATCGGTAGAACTGAGAGACAGTGGAGAGTTTGCTGGGTTTTCCATCAGTGACACAGAACAGGTGATGAACTCCAGAGAGAAGCTCTGTGATTCATACCTAGGTGCACTGTGAAACCTGAAATCACAGCCATGGAAATTGCATTCCAGGGTAGCAGAGGATCAAAATTTTTATTAGAAATGAGAGTTTTAATTATACTGTTGGCAGTTTGTAGCTCCAGGCACACTGTCTGCAAACAATAATTTCTGGCATCGACCCAATTGTGCCATTCCTAAGCTCTATGCTATATGACAGAACAGAATTTCCAATTCATAAAGGATGGTTAAACACTGAGAGTTTATCCTCCAGGAATTTAATGGATTTCTCTCCACGTGTTCTCTCTCACAGATGGATGTTAGCCTTGTAATTTAAAAATAAATAAATAAATAAATAAAACTAAAGAAATAAAACAGCAACGTTTAATTTTTTTGTTTTCTTACTTTATTTTAGGCATATGAGTACTTTTAATTTCCAT